CCCCAGCAAGCAGGGACAAATTCAGTCTTCAGTTTGCAGCCTGATGGGCTTCAGAAAGGCTGAAATTAAATGATTATCTTTTAATTTCTTCTGAATGGCTCTTTCCTCTCCAAAGCCACCAGATCTCAATTCAATGAAGTCTGAAAGTTGCAGCTCTAGCAGAGCTGTGCAAGATACAATTACAGCAAAGCCAACCCTCAGCATATATTACTTTAAAGAAGGAATTCTGCACTAGCACTCCAACCTAAACCCCACATTTGCTATTTATTTTGATAGCTGAGTTGGAAATAAATTCAAATAAATGCCAGTCCCTGATGCTCACACATCCCTTCTCCATCCTCTCAGCATGTTCTCATCTCTTCTGCAAATTCTAGGATTTAGCAGCTGCCTTGAATATTTTTTAAGCATGACATTAATAGAGCAGAAGAGAATCAGCAGAGTGACAGTAGCACATGGATAGTTTCAGACCAGCTCCTGGATGACATATTAAATCCAGACAGTGGTTCATTCAAAGAGGGGTTCAATATTATCATCTATAAATCAGTATTTGCTTTACAGAATGTAATGGAAAATGCTAATAGGATTTACTTGTGAAATGAAATTGGATTATGTCTTATCTATTTTAACTTGATTTGGTATAGTATTCCTCCATCATCAACCAGCAGCCTCAATGTCTTCTTGCCTTTCCTTCCCCCCCTCCTCTCAGAATTCAGGCAGATCCTCAGGCCATGGTTTTCAAAGGGAAATTAGGGGGGACAGACATAAATTAAGTAGAAAATGTAGATTATGCAATCTCAAGCAGCATAATGAAAACGCCTGCAAAGTCATTAGAGCTGCACCACGTGTGCCCTGAGCTGCTTGTTTATGTAGGGTCGGAATTTGCCCAGCCAAGAAACTTGAATTTCACAAAGTAATTTAAGCCTGGTAATTTCCTTGTCCATGCCTGAGTGACTTAACAGTCACTGTATGCGATGAATATCCGTGTGCAGAATTATGCTGCTCTGCTCTGGAACCACTCAGGGCTCATTGATACATTCTATTAACTGGCCGCAATAAAGCCTTGATTTATTCCAGCCTTATCAGGTCTGCAGGAGAGAACCTGCCTTTTAATAACAGGGAAACAGCATGAGAAGTTGTCAGAGGCAGTGTTAAGCAATGATGTTCACACAAATGCAGCTCTGTGCCCTCATCCTCCATGGGCTGGAGGTACTGGGGCAACACAGCACCGTATGAGACATGGTGGGGGGACAGAGATGGACCAGGGGTTGCCTGGGCTCTGAGGAGAAGTGGTGCTTCTGCAGCACATGACTATCATCGCTGTCACACCAAGCCATCAGGTCATTTAGGTGGCAAAAGCAGGAATTCCTCTTGGTTAGGAACCCCAGTGACAGGACAAAGCATAACAGGTTCAGATTGAAGGAGGGGAAATTTAGGCTAGATATTAGGCAGAAGCACTGGCAGAGACACTGGCACAGGTTGCCCAGGGAGGCTGTGGCTGCCCCAACCCTGGCAGTGTTCAAAGCCAGGTTGGCTAAAGCCTTGAGCAACCTGGTCTGGTGAGAGGTGTCCCTGCCCAGGGCAGAGGGTTGGCACTGGATGATCTTTAAGGTCCATTCCAACCCCTAAAATTCCATGATTCTATGAATCACAGAACCCCAGACTGGTTTAGACTGGAGGGGACCAAAGCCCATCCCATTCCACCCCCTGCCATAGGCACAGACACCTTCCAGCAGCCCAGGTTCTCCAAGTCCTGTCCAATCTGTTCTTGATTTGAAGCATAAGCCACACATGTTACTTCCAAGAGGATTTTCTCTCTTAAGCACTCCAGGTGGGAAAGGTGATGGACACTGAAATGACAGGATCCCTGTGAGACTAGAGAAGGAGAGTTGGGTGTGTTGGTCACAGCTTGAGTGTTGCTCACTGAGGAACTGAGTCCCCCCACAGTGGAGGGACCTGGCAGATAGGACTGAACATTTGCCATAGGAAACTACCCAACCAGGGTAAGCAGAGGAGCTGAGAATTTCCTCTCTTTTCTATTCCTTTAATTAAGAATTTTTCAGATTTAAACTTGAAAACAATTTTGATACAAATTTCTTACAAATAGTGACTAGTAGACAAAGCAGAGCTCTCCCGAATGAAGCATTTAGCTTTTCCTGATGGCAGCTGCCCTGCCAGGCCAGCTCAGCAGCAAATGGGCATTATTCTGCTGGTTTGATGGCACATGGCACTCCCAGCTGGGCAGGGCTGCCCACTGAGGCCCTGGGCAAACCAGGTCACCCCAGCAGCATCAGCCATCTCAGCACATCCCACCTGCTTCCAACAAGTGCCCCTGGGACTGATAAGGGCAGCAGGAGCTGTGCTAGCAGCCCCCAGCCCCAGCACAACTCTCTCTGCAGTGCAAGGAACTGTTTTTCTGCCTGGTCAGAATGGATAAGGCTCAGCAGCAGGAACAGATGTTCAGAGAGCTCCTGCATTGTGCTCAGCTGGCAAAGGGAACACCTACAAACCCAACCAGGGCTGTGTTAGCAATTAGCTGACTCCGACAAATCGTTCGTGTATACAAACTGCCTCATGCTGCAGCCAGATCCTGGTTTCACATGGCTTTGATTTCATCCCCACCCTCTCCTTCTTTTCTTGTAAGAAACATTCAAAACAAAATAAAAGACTCTGCAGCATAAAATAAAAAACCCAGTGCAAACTGAATCCAACATAATGCCAAGGACATTCCCAGCTTAGCCCAGCTGGCTGAACTGGGACAAAGAGCAACTTTATTCTTTATACTTTATTTATACATATATGCTGAGCTTGTTTGATTGAGAAACCTGTGACATGTTTCTTACTGTACACAGAGGCACCTCACACTGTGTGCTGCAGCCACACCTCAGCACCCCCTGTTTGTGTCATGTACCAAAGAGGAATGGCACCTCCTGAGCCTGCACGTCCTTCAACACAGGCACTTTGTCCCACTGCTCCCTTGGCTCTCCATTCAGGGAGAGCAAATCCCATCCCACCTGTACACCAGAGGCAGTCACTGCTCCCAGCTGCTGCAGCAAGGCCTGGGGTGGCTGGTGCAGGAATGAACCACCACTGCTCAGCTGAACCTTCCTGCCTGTCAGAATCAATTGTTCCCACCACAGATGCATCTGGCACACTCAAAACTCATGTTAAGGAAACAGTGAACTGGTGTGAGGAACAGCTCCAGCCCCAGCATGACTCGGGGCACAGGGCACACACCAACCAGCACATCAGCTGTACATTGCCTTACAGCTTGAGTTTTGACTTTGGCCAGCTAAGATGGTGCTTTTATCCAAGCTAGGACTTATGCACTTCCTGACCAGGAAGGCAAGAGGGATTCTGTGACTTTAACACATCCACTGTGCTCTATTTCTTGCTTAAAAAACCCCAAGCCCCAAAGCAACCTGTGAGCAGGCTTGGCAGCTTCTCCCTTCTCTGAGCATGTAGAGAGCTCCTGAGACAGCTGGTCTCACCCTTATTAAAATCCCCATGAGATGAAATACCAAGGATGCAATATTTGTTTTGCTAAAACCAGTCTGAGCTCACCATTCCCTCTGCTCCCTGTTGTGAGTTATTGGTTTGACACCACAAACCGTTTTGGAGAGCAGTTAGTGTGAAGGTGTCACCCCAGAAGACCCAGGGCAGGGCTGGGCAAGGGCTGCATGGGTTTTTTACTGACAGCAGGAACATAATACACAAAAAATAAAGATCACCTGTTCCATCAGACACCATCCATTGCGGTTTTCCCTCCTACGCAGCCCCCAGTTGTTAGAGCACTGCCAGCTTGAGGGAATTGAGGTAGATGGAAACACACGGAGGGCACAGAAACAGCAAGAACATCAGTGGGCTCTGCATGAGCCTCCTCAAGCTGCTGTGCAGATCAAGGCTGTCCTTGTGAGTGATGGCCACAGCCCATAATGCCTGAGCCTGAGGGCAGAAGCCTGGGGACCTGCAGGCAGTGTCACTGAGCAGCACAGAACTCTGCCCGCAGGACCCAGAGCACCATCAAGCTGTTCTCTATGTGTCAGTGCATTGATCCTCCATTTTCCAGCACAGCACAGGCTACAGGAACCCTGGTGTCACGGAGATGAGGGCAGTCTGGTCATCAGTGAACACCTCCTGCATGCCTGGGTGGTACAGCTGGCCCCATCAGTCACCAGGGGATGAGGGGCTTTGCTGCCCATAGCAATAGGACAATGTCTGTGCAGGGAGATGCAACACTGACGTCTCTAATATTCATTACCAATAAAGGTGTCACAGCAATTTTCAAAACAGAAACTGTCACAAATTACAAGCTGGATAATTGAACTTAACTGAAGAAAATTCATTGTTAGAATGAACAAGAGAAATTATTCACATTGTCTTTCCATTTATTTTCCCACATGTTGGAGAGAAAAGAAACGTTTCATGTCATACCAAGTGCTAAAACACATTCAATCCCATGCTGAGAACACCTTGGTGTGGAAATCCCAGGGGGTCAGACCCAACAGGCTGCAGCAATTTGTACCAGGCAGCTTCAGGGGCTCCTGGTGTCACCTAGCAGCCACTGGGATCCCACAGCAGAGCCACACACCAGCAGAGTCCTTCTGCCTTTAGTGGGACAACCACATGAACAACCTGCTGCCTCCACTGAGAATCTTCAAATTTCCATGGACACTAATCCCCATCTAATCATCCAAACAGAGTTTCTTATCTCCTTGTATTACTGCACCACCATGACGAGTTAAAGCAGGAAGATCTCAGCCCAAGAACCACATCTGTCATCAGAACCTGCTCAGACAATTACTCAAGGAAGGTTTGCATCTCAATGTCCTTGTGCCCTCCTTGGTGCCACCAACCCATCCATCACACAGCACAGCTCACTTTGCCACATGACACAAACCCCAACACTACACTTCCACCACAAGCAGCAGTTTGTTGCATCAGACTCTCCTTCTCTGCTGCTTCTCCACTGGGTTTAGGGAGTAAGAAACAACTTGACTTACAGTTTACCGTGACTTTTACTTTTTTCACATCTGGCACTGAGACGTCATTTTCTGCACTGCACTCGTATTCCCCAGCTTGGTCTCTTGTGATTCCATAGATGTCCAGGTACTGCCCACTCTCAAAGGGCTTTGCTGAAATGAAATCATCAGAGAAAGGAATTACTGAAAGCTGAGCACAAATCACCCTGATCTTTCAACGTGTCAGCAGCAGCCTGAGTGTTTAACACACATCTGCAGGGAGTTGGGAGCTGCTGTGGCTTTCACCCAGAAACCACAGCTGAAGGTGAGCTGAAAACCCCCTCAGGCTCCTGGGGTTGACCAAGGGTCCTCTCCTGACCCTGCTCCACTCAGAAGCTGGATGATGAACCCCATCAGCTGGGGGCTCTGTACCCCAAGGGTTGCTAAAGGCAGGTGTGACCCAGAGGGAACCAGTGGCAGATCTCCTCTACTGGGTGTCCATCTGCAATGGGTGGCAGTGAGTGCAAACTGGGTCATCCCACATCCTGCCTCCAGGGAAAAAGCCCTTTCAGGCTTTCTCAGCACCCACCCAGTGCTTACATGTTGTGCCCTAATGAAAGTTCCAATATATTAGTTAAAAATAAATTAACAGCTCTCCTTTCCCAAAGGTCCCAATGCAAGAAATGGGATCCTCAGTGTTTGCCTTGTTAGACAGACACAAGGACACTTGTGTGAGTGATTTTGAGAGCAGGCACAGGTCTGTCTGACATGGAACACCATGAAAACCAAAGGGAAATGCTTGTGTCTGTAACTCCTCGGTGCACTGCAAGGAAACACGAGTTGTTCTACAGAGCAAGAATAACAATACAGCTCAAACGCCCATTTATCTCCACTTGACACAGGGTCACAGCAGACACAGACATTTCTGTAGCTACCTAAATCCCAGCATCTCCCAGCGTTTCCCTGCCATGCTTCCACTTTGATATACCTCAGATGAAAACTGCTCCCAGTTTCCCAGCTCCTCTTTCTGTGCCTTTTGAGCAGAGTGCCCTAGGTGATGGGCAATTAATTGGTTTCTGTTCCTCACAAGGCACTCAGCACATCACCAACCAAAAATGGTCAATGGAATTATTATTTTAACACAGCCTCTCAGAGCAGCCATGCCCACAGATGCTGGAAATTATAGGTCTAAATGCTTAAAAGACTTGCTGGAAGTGTTTCCCCCTCAGCCAAGCCTTTAATTGCCTGTTAATAACCATGTGGCCAACCAAAACCTAGTGTGGGCAGCGAGGACCAGGCAGCAGAGTTATGTCATATCCATCCTGGTGGTGAATTAATTTGTTAATCTGCTCCTGAATTGATGTTTTAAAGTGTGCAAAGTTCAAAACATCAATTAGCAGAGTGCATGGCTGAGCACAGCAATGCTCGTTAGCACCACACGCCAAGAGCCTGAGCGAGCACTGCTGCTGGGGAGAGGAGAGATAAGGCTGAAAGAGGGAAGTCATTGTCAGTTGAAGTGAATATTCATAGGATGCAGTGGAATAGTTTATGGGACATGAGGAAATGCAGAAGAATTTTGAATTGCTTGGGGGTTTTTTCATTTCCAAGTTGTTCATAGGAATAAATTACCAAGAAAACCCTTCCCCAAGCAAAGCAGCTGTTACTGTTCCCATCATGACCCTCATCCTGCTCTGCTATGGCCACGATGAAGCAATTCCCAGGAAAAATGTATTTCCTTTTGCTGTGAACAGCAGCAAGGAGAGATGCATCTGCCCATGCAGTGGAAACACCTTCCAGTGACTGTTCTTTGGTTCTAATACCAAGAAAATTACATAAAATGCAAAATTCTCCCTTGTGTCAAGTTAAAAATAACTAAAAATTGTGGGATTATGCCTCACCACCCTGCCAGGCAAGAATTCCTTCCCAATATTCCATCTGTCCCTGCCCTCTAGCAGTGGGAAGCCATTCCCTGTATCCTGTCCCTCCAGGCCCTTGTCCCAAGACCCTCTGCAGTTCTCTTGGAGCCCCTTTAGACACTGGAAGGGGCTCTAACATCTCCTTGGAGCTTCTCTTCCCCAGGCTGAACATCCCCAGCTCTCCCAGCCTGGCTCCATGGCAGAGATTCTCCAGCCCTTGGAGCATCTCTGTGGCCTCCTCTGGACTTGCTCCGGCAGCTCTATGTCCTCCCTGTGCTAGAGACCCCAGAGCTTGAGGCAGCACTGCAGGTGAGTCTCACTTGAGCAGGGCAGAGGGGCCCTCCCCCCCCCCACCTGCTAGCCAATTACTTGATTTAGATTCCTCACCAGGCATTCTCCACTTAATAAACCACCATTCCTGTCCGGATAATTCCCCAAAATGCCCATCAGCACTTCCCAAGACCCTTGTATTTGGAGGGATTTCTGCTGAGCTGTGAATTCATTTATGCTGTGAAAGTGTGTTCACTCTGACAGCTTTGGGCAGCCCCTGAAATTTATGCAACTCACAGACACATTCAGAAGTCATTTTTAAGCCCTCATGTCCCCAGGAATTTTGCATCCAGCTCACAGAAGTAAGCTTTTAGTAAATATGAGAGATAAACACTTCTCTTAGGGAACATACTGATACCCTGGTTCATCTCTCAACTCTCCTGCACTGTAATGCATCTCCTCAGCTCAGTCCTAGAGATTTCCCATGGCTGCGTGGGAGCATGTAAATCCTGGTGTGTGAGGGATCTGCGCATGAGTATTTGTGAGTGTGTTTATGCTGCATCACACGCACACCCAGTTCAGGCAAGGAGGTCCATAGGCAGCAGGAGAATAAACTGGGGATGAAGACATTGGGGAATGAAGATGAGTTTCAGGAGACAACTTGGTGTTCTCTCTTTTTTTCCTGTGATTTCTTGCAGCCAGGGGTGACCAACACCTGCTCTGCTCCTCTACAGCCCACAGGCATTTTATGGAGCTATCAAGAGTTCATGAATACCTCTGGCTGCCTGTTCTGGTTGCCAAGTCAAAAGACTCTTCAGACTTTGTACCTGAACAAAGAAATCTGGAAGGTTCATTACACCAGTTCCTCAGCCTGGAGTCATGTCAGCCAAGAACTTTGATCAAAGATGGGAAAGAAACATTAGCTGAAGTAAAAGAAACATAAACATGAGGTGTCTCCTCTCCAAGGCTGTTCCTGAGGGGGTTTTCAGAAGATCTTTTGACTAGACTTACTGACACACATACTGATACATAAGCAATGTACTCTGAGTAGCTCAGGTTGTGACATCAGGTTCTCCAGGAAGGGAAATGCCTGTGAAGCTAACCTTGAATGTCTATTTTCTGCCACTGATGTCTGATCTGACGTCTGATGAATCCTCACACTTATTATTCCTCAGGAGAGTAGATGATTAAAGCTGTTTTCCTAGCACTCCTGTGGGATCTGGCACAGGTGTAGCAAATGCACACGTTGCCATATGGACCCGTTCTCACAGGCTGGGGTGGAGGAGTTCTGCAAGGCCAGCATTTGCCTCCCCTGGGGCTAAGCATAAGTCAGGATGAAGAAAAATGTGGTCCAAGTCCAGGGCAGCTCCAAAAACATCTGAGGATTTCAGCTGAGCCAAAGAGGAGCTTTTTTTCTTCTTTATTCACTAGGATACTAAATAACTAAAATATTTATGATCTGTAAAACCTCTTCAATGCTCAGTACTGGGTTTATGACTCAGCCTTTGAGGTACCTCATTCTCCAGTAGAGGGTGGAGACCCTGGTGGGGTTGGGAGTGTGGAGAGTGTGAGGCTGAGCTGATGCCAGTCCTGCTTCAGAACAGGCTCAGGTGCCCATGAGAGAACACACAGAACTGAGTGAACAACCTTCCAAAAGCGAGGAGATGCAAAGTCCTTAGCTCATCTTTATGTAACTGCCTCACTGGGGAGAACTGGGCTCAATATAGAGAAGAGAAGGTGGTCACCAATGACAGTGTCACTGTGAGTCACCACCCTTGCAGAGATTTCAAAACCATGTTGATGTGGCACTTGGGGACATGGTTTGGTGTTGGCCTTGGCAGTGCTGGGGGAACGGTTGAACTCACTGGTCTCAGTGGGCTTTTCCAATAGAAACAATTCTATGGTTCTTGAATGTCATCTGATTATCACCATATGCTTTAAAAAATCCATAAAGTCCTTCTTGATCTCTAAGACTGGATGGAGATAAAGGAGCAAGGGTGCAAGGAGGCAACTTACATTCCTGGAGATGAGTTTTCATGGGATGCTGAGAACAATTAAAAGTGTAAACAATTGGATTCACCCAGGAAAGTGAACTGAAGCCATTTCTAATCCTCATTATGGATTCTGAGTTTGAAGTTTCACCAAGTTCTGTAATTGGATAGTCCTCTCCAAGGACCTGCAGGGAACCTGAACAGCTCACTGTCTGTGAGGAGAATTGCCTTATCACATTAGGGACCCTTTAAGCATTGATTGCTGAAGGCCATTTCACTTTAGAGAAGCCATGTTGGGAAAGAAAAATCAGATCAAATGTAAAGGAAAAAAGATCCCAAAGTGACAGATAAATTGAGGACAGGAGGAGATGTCCCAGCTGGTCGCATGGAACAGCAAAAACAAGTAGAGCAGTTTTGTAAGAAGGTAAGAGACAAGAGATGTGAACATAGATTGACAAAAACAAAGGTTTCAGAGGTTGGAGAGGTTTCAGAGGTTGGTATTTGGTGCTGCTTGTGCCTGTGCTCTCAGTGTGGGCAGTGTAAATCTATGTACAGAGATAGGAGAGGTTGGTCCTACAAGAGAAGTCATCTCTGTTCTCCTCATTCTTTACAGTTCCACCAGATTCTGTCCCTGCTCAGAGCCACTGCCATGCAGCACCAGTGCCTGACATCATGGAGTTATGATGATGGTTTGGAGCAAGTTTAAGTTTTAACTTTGCTGACTTCATGACAAGGAACGCATGGACAGCTCATACTGCAGAATATGTACTGACCTTTCTGCCTCAGCAGCCAAAGATTAATGGAAAGGAATACTAGCTCCATTCTAATGCCTGAGAAGAAGATGTTGCCCAGAGAGGTTGTGCACTCCCCATTCGTTGAGGTGTTTGAGGCCAGATTGGATGGGGCTTGGAGCAACCTGAGCTAGTGGAAGGTGTCTCTGCCCATGGCAAGGGTGGACAAGATGGGTTTTAAGGTCCTTCCAACCCAAATCATTCTG